AATATAAAGTCCATTAAAGGCCCAAACCGCCTAAACCGGTCAGACCAGACCGCTTTTACTTGGTCTGGTTTGACCGGTCTGGGCACTTAATGTCAAACCGCTCGGTTTGAAAATTTTATAAACCGCCATTACGGTTTGGTTTGTGGTTTGAGGGGTTAAACCGCCCAAACTGGACCGCGAACACCCCTAATCTATATATGTTGAAACCCCCTTCTCTCTCCTTAAGGGCCTTTTTTTTGGAGAGTAATCTGATGGGGTTTCATACATTCTCACAGTATATAGTACCCATTTTTTGGAGAGTAATCTGATGGGGTTTCATACATTCTGACAGTATAAAGTGCTCATTTTTTGTATAAGAATCAAGTGGAAGTTAATTATACTGTAAATGTGAGATTAATTGTTATGTTCAGGTATCTCTCAAATATGTCTACTTGGCTCTGGGGGCTGGTGTTGCAGCCTTTGCTCGTAAGCTTATTAACGACTTGCTTAATTGATAACTAAAGTACGTTTTATATGTGTAAATATTACAAAGAACCCGTATCTGTTACTTGTAGAGGTGGTATGCTGGATGGTGACGGGTGAGAGGCAGGCTGCACGGATCCGAAGTTTATACTTGAAAACGATACTGAGGCAAGATGTGGGATTTTTTGATCAAGAAGGTAAGACGGGAGAAATTGTTGAACGAATGTCTGGTGATACGGTTATTATTCAGGATGCAATGGGAGAAAAGGTAGTATATATTTCATGCAATCATACTACACAACCATATATATAGTAATTACACTACAACAAAATCGGGTTTATAGTCAACTAAAAATGTGTAATTGTCTTAATAGATTGCTTTATAGGACTTTCATGTTATAGGATCAAATAATGGGGTGCATCCTATGCAAAAGTGTTGATGCTTCCGAGGGTCTTAACAAGTGTTTTAGGACACTTTTGTACAATTGTTTGATCCTATAAATCTAAGTTTCATAAAGCAGTGTATTAGAACACCTATGAAGCTGACTTTTCGTAATGATAATCGTTAGTAAGGGTTAGTTGAGATGTAATGCTTTCGAGTCTTATAACTTTCAGGTTGGAAAATTCATACAATTGACTTCAACTTTCTTTGGAGGGTTTGTGATTGCTTTTTCAGAGGGATGGCTTCTTGCCCTTGTTTTATTATCTTCAATTCCTCTTCTTGTGATATCGGCTGCCTTTATGACTGTCGTAATGACAAAGCTAATGTCGAGAGGCCAAGCGGCTTATTCTGCTGGTGCTTCTGTAGTTGAACAAACAATTAGCTCTATCAGAACTGTGAGAATTCTCAACACCCTCCCTTCATGTTTTAGGAATAGAAATTCCTTTTATAGTTTTGACATACATTGAGACCCTGCAATCTCGAGTTTCTATACGAGTGTGGACCCCACAACTCCTAACGTCCGTATTTTAGTTTGATTCAGACAATTAGACAACAGATTTAGATTCATGGTTTCTTGTTACATACAGGTTGCATCATTCACAGGGGAGAAAGAAGCCATTGCAAAGTATGAGAAGTCTCTTAGGAATGCTTACAGGGCTGGGGTGCAAGAGGGTCTTGTTGCTGGAATTGGGTCTGGTATATTTATGATGTGTGTATTCTGTTGCTACTCTTTGGCCATTTGGTTTGGTGGCAGATTGATTATAGAAAAAGGATACAGTGGAGGACAAGTTATAAATGTGATGATTGCTGTCTTGATAAGCTCCTTGTAAGTTATCTTTAAAATAATGTATCTTACCCGGTAAGCACTTACCAGGCAATGGTGTAAGATTCTCAGTTAGAAAAATGGCAAAGTAAGATTGTTAGTAAAGACCATCATCAGCGTCTCTTACTCGATAAGAGGCAATAAGTGTTTAGTTACCCGGTACCGGCCTTCTTCACTACAACAAAATTTGGTATATATATATATATATATATATATATGACGCCAAAAATGTCTAATTGTTCTAATAGATTACTTTATAGGACTTGAGTTTGTAGAACCAAGAAATAAAGCAGTCCTTCTAACGTTGTGTTATCGAGTTCTTTTATGAAGGAAATGAAGGGAAAGGGAAGGAAAGTAGGGGGGAAATCTTGTGTTCTCGAGTGGATGGGAAAGGAAAGGAGGAAAATCAACTTGAAAATCATGTTGATTTTCCCTCCAAAACTTTCCTCCCAAATGTGAGAGGGAAGGGAAGGAAAGAAAAGATTAGAATTTATAAAAATTGATAATATTTATAAAATTACAGTTTTACCCATCAATTACATTCCATTATAAAATAAATAAGGTTATATTTGTAAAATGACATTTTTCCTTTCCTTTCTCTCCTGCTCAAAAACATGAAAATTTATTTTATTTCCTTCAATTTCCTTCCTTTCAAGAACACAAATTTCTTTCTTTTCCTTTATTTTTTTTCCTTCCCTTCCGTTTCTTTTCTTTCCTTGCAGATCTCGAGAACAGCAGTGTAAAAATGTTGCAACAAGTTTATAGAACATTTTTACACGGTTTTACAAGTTTTTAGTACAATTTTGAAATAAAACGTTGGATTAATCTTTTATATGACACGATTTGAAGAAGTATCTTATAAAACAAGTGTCTTGTTAAAAAAATGTGTTCATATGAAACTTTTCAAAAGTGTCCTGTAAAATAACTAATACGATAATTTATGTTTTTTACATCTGAGAAGCTTATTATGACGTCCAAAAGGGTCTTATAAAAATCTTATTATAACACTTTTAGATATTACAATTTATATTTGGTACCATAAACTTAAGTCCTATAAAGATAAACATCAGGACACTTGGACATTTTTGGTGTCCTATAAACCCAATTTTGTTGTAGTGACTGTTCTTAACAGTCGTAAGCTCATAGCTACCAGCTTTTGGAATGATATTTTTAGTAATTCTCAAAACTGTTTTCTTGATCAGTTCTTTAGGCCAGGCTTCACCATGCTTGAGTGCATTCGCCTCCGGAAGAGTTGCAGGTTTTAAATTGTTCCAAGTAATCGATAGAAAGTCAGAGATCGATCCTTATGACACCCGTGGTCGGAAACTAGAAGACATTCATGGTGATATCGAACTACGGGATATCACTTTTAGCTATCCAGCTAGACCCCAGGAGAAAATCTTTAACGGGTTTTCGCTCGCCATACCAAGTGGCACAACCGCGGCTTTAGTTGGTCAAAGTGGAAGTGGGAAATCGACGGTAATCAGCCTGCTACAAAGATTTTATGATCCTCAAAAAGGTGAAGTTGTTATTGATGACATAAATATCAAAGAATACCACCTGAGATGGCTTAGAGGCAAGATCGGTCTTGTTAGTCAAGAACCGGTTTTGTTCACTTCGACTATTAGAGATAATATCGCTTACGGGAAGGATGATGCAACACTCCATGAAATCAAAGCGGCTGCTGGGCTCGCCAACGCTACCAAATTCATCGACAAATTCCCCCAGGTTCAGCGTCCTTGCTAGTTGTTTAGGACATTTTTTAAATAAAGTGTCTTATTAGTATTTATACGACATTATTTGAAAAAAACGCTTATAAAAACAAGTGTCTTATAAGAAAATGTGTTCATACGATATTCCTCAAAAGTTCATATAAAAATCTAATGGAACACTTTATTTCAAAATCAAGTGTCCTAAAAAACCTGTTATGACGCCAAAAGAGTCTTATCAACTTATTGTAACACTTTATATAGGATGTCCAATCGTTTGGTCCTATAAACTTAAGTCTATTAGGATATTTAGATATATCTGACATCCTATAAATCCAATTTTTTTGTAGTGTAAACTCATTTTGTTGAAATGCATCTATCTAGGGACTAGATACAATGGTGGGTGACCATGGAACTCATATGTCTGGAGGACAAAAACAGAGAATTGCAATAGCCAGAGCAATCTTGAAAGACCCAAGGATTTTACTACTCGATGAAGCTACGAGCGCTCTTGATGCAGAATCCGAGAGGGTCGTTCAAGAAGCACTCGATAGAATTATGGTTAACCGAACAACGGTCATTGTAGCCCATCGCTTGACCACTATTCAAAATTCTGATCTAATCGCAGTTATTCATCATGGGAAGATTGTAGAGAAAGGTCCTTTTCTTTCTTTAACCGTTACAACAAAATCAGGTTTATATGACGTTAAAAATGTTCGAGTATCCTAATAAACTACTTTGTAACAATTGAGATTACGAGACACAATTGTTTGATCCTAATAAACTTCTTTATAGGACTTAAGTTTATAGGAACTTTGGACATATTTGGACATTTAGACATATTTAAGCATTTAGGTCCTATAAGCTTAAGTCCTATAAAGAAGTCTATTACGACATTTAGACATGTTTGTCGTACTGTAAGGCTGCTTTTGTTATAGTGATGGTAGTTTGAATCAACCTGCAGGTTCACACTCTGAGCTGTTACAAGATCCTGAAGGTGCATACTCCCAGCTTATACGATTACAAGAGCTTAACAAAGACTCAGAAAAACAAGAAGCCGATATCACTGTGACCGCTGCAAGTCGAGAATCATCTAATGTTGGTAACAGTAATCGCCATTCAGTTTCAACCGCGGTCAGTAGTTATTTTGAGGAATTGAAACCTGATCAAAATCAACCAGATTCTCACACATCTTCAGATGTCTCACTTCTTCGATTGGCTTATCTAAACAAGCCAGAAATCCTGGTTATATTACTAGGTTCTATAGCTGCTGTAGTTAATGGTGCAATTTTACCTATATTTGGGTATCTTCTTTCAAACATCATAAAGATATTCTTTAAGCCCGCTGACGAGCTACGAAAGGAATCAGACTTCTGGGCATTGATGCTTCTTGTACTTGGTTTCGCAAGTTTAATAGCAACGCCATTAAGGACATACTTTTTTGGCGTAGCCGGGTGTAAGTTGATACGAAGAATACGATTAAGATGTTTTCAGAAAGTGGTTCAGATGGAGATAAGTTGGTTTGACAAGGCTGAAAATGCAAGTGGTTTGATTGGGGCAAAGTTGTCTGCAGATGCAGCTTCTGTAAGAGGTTTGGTAGGGGATACAGTTTCTTTACTTGTTCAGAACACGGCCACAGCCGTTGCCGGTTTGCTTATCGCGTTTTTGGGAAACTGGCAGTTGGCTCTTATAATTCTAGTAATGTTGCCATTGATAGGACTTAATGGATATCTTCAGTTGAGATTCATTAGTGGATTCAGTGCTGATACAAAGGTGAGCTACTTGTTTCGTTTTTGTTATTTGTAATTGTTACAGTCCCATATCGGCTAGATTTATACCATTTCTCTTTAATATATGCTGGAACTTCCATTTTCTGCTTAAGGGATATTTTGGAGAGTAATCTAATAGGGTTCTATATATTCTCACATGATATCAAAGCCAGAGACTCGACGCTCTGAGCAATCTATGGTTGTCTAGCCCCTTCTCGAAACTCTTAAGACATTTTGTGGCTGTGTAGCCTTCGTTGGATGGGGCGTGTTAGAGTCTCACATCAGTTAGACGTGGACCATTTCTCTTCAACATATGTTGGACCTTTCCTTCTCTCCTCAATGGCTCTTTTGGAGAGTAATCTAATGGGATTCCACATAGTCAAGGTATACCGCTACAGGGATTCAACACTCTCGCAATGCATTTTGTAGTTGTGTAGCCTTTGTTGGTGGGGGCATGTTAGAGTCGTATATCAGCTAGACTTGGACCATTTCTCCTCAATATATGTTGTAACCTCCCTTCTTTCCTCAAGGGTTTTTTGGAGAGTAATTTAATGGGGTTCCACATATATATTTTCATATAAAAATATGATGAAAATTGAAATAAGAACGATTGAGATGATGTTTTTGTATTGGCTTTTGTAGAAACTATATGAAGATGCAAGTCAAGTTGCAAGTGATGCAGTAGGAAGCATTAGAACAGTGGCTTCATTTTGTGCTGAAGAGAAGGTCATGAAGCTATATGAAAAGAAATGTGAAAGCCCCCGAAGAGCCGGAATCCAACAAGGTCTGGTTAGCGGTTTTGGTTTCGGGTTGTCCATGTTTTTATTATTTGTAGTATATGCAACCAGCTTCTATGTTGGAGCTCGTTTTGTCGCAGCCGGCAAGACTACGTTCCCTAAAGTTTTCCAGGTAGGTAGGCCGCACGAGCTCACTTCACTGCTTTATAGGATTTTAAGTTTTATAGAACCAAACAATTATGTGACGTCCCATGTAAAAGGATTACAATAAGTTCAAAATGACGTTTTTAGAACACTTTTAAAGTAAAGTGTCTTAATAGCGGTTTTATAAGACACTTTGGAACAGTATCCTATGACAGAGGACACTTTCTCAAATAATATCACATCTTTTTATAAGACAATTTATAGTGTCCTAAAAAACTTGTTAAGACGCCCAAAATTAAAGTGTCCTATGAACTTATCGTGATAGTTCTTTTACACAAGAGAGACAATTGTTTGGTCTTATAAACTTCAGTCATAGCACTGTTAGAACAGTTTTGATGTCTGATTTTGTTATAGTGCTTATTTTACAAGGTTATATATAGTGATTCCCATCTCTTTTTCATAATATTTTGAAGGTATTCTTGGGGTTGAGTATGGCAGCCATGGGTGTTTCTCAATCAGGATCGTTTGTTCCGGATTCTGGAAAAGCCAAGACCGCTACTGCTTCGGTTTTTGGTCTTCTTGACCAGAAATCGAAAATAGACTATACGGACGAGTCTGGAACTACGTTACAAAACGTGAAGGGTGATATCGAGTTTAATCATGTCAATTTTAAGTATCCGTCTAGACCCGACATTGAAATCTTCAGGGACTTTTGCTTGACCATTCCTTCTGGCAAGGTACTTACATAGCCTTTTTACTTGTGCCATTTTCTATATCTTTTGTATCGGAATCAGTGTTCTAAAAGGCGTATCGTGGCAGCCGCCGTGGCTCAAGGCTCGTCTTTGACACCACATAATCATGTGGCATGCCATGGTTTGATGCACGATTTGACGCCACATAATCATGTAATGGTAGAAAACATGTGTGTGTATAATTAGATGTGGATCTATGTGGGAATAACAGTTACGGTAGAATACTGGTAGAAAATATTATGAGCCTTTGGATGAGTTGACTTTTTAATCTAACTTCATTTTCCTTCAACTTCCTTCATTACCTTCATCTGTATTCATCTACCTTTATCTTCACATTTATTTTCACTTTGTCACTTTAATGAACTTTTACGTACATTTAATCACTTTCATATGAATTTTTAAAGTTTATACCATGATCATAAAAATAGGTTAATGAAGGTATATGAAAGTTTTGTTCTCACATTCTCATTATAACTCTTATTTTCACCGGAACCCAAACCTGTATAATTTTATTTATATATATACACACACAAATTTGTCGTCATAAGCCACACCTTGAAAACAGTCGTGGCTCCTTACCTTTCATGAGGTTTGAACCTTTGACCTCCTGAGGGAGACTGAGTAGCCCACCAACGATTCGGTGTAATATGTACTTAAGCATATATACCACCAAATTGTCATAGTTGTTAAAGTTTACAGTAAGATTAATTTGAGATTAAAAGGAAAACTCGAGAATTATTAAAAGTGATGATATTCTTGCTTAGGGGTTGTTTAAATGCTTACCCAGAATGTTTACCCAGAAGGCGCTTACCTATAAGAGTCAACAATATAATTTACTTTAATGCGTAAGATTTTAGTACATCAAAATGTATCGAATGCAACAATTTACCGGGTAAGCAGTTACCTGGGTAAGAGTCGTCATCTTCACTTACCGGATAAGACTCTCCATCCTTCTCATTGCTCTTACTCGGTAAGATTCTTGGCCCTTGTCATGTTCATCCGATAGGAATTTATCCGGTAAACACTTACCAAGTAAACGTTTAGCAAACGGCCCCTTAGCATATGTTGAATGATATTCATTAGGTCTAGTTTCTAATTTTATGGAAGAACAAGAAGAAGGCAAACGAAATGCAAAATGGAGTATAGGGTTTAGTTAATGAAGTTTAATTGGCACCTGTACATGGTCATATGTTATCAACACAACACAACTCAACTTATTATTAAGACATTTTTATCAATTCTTTTATATATGAAATTGTCTGAAAAGATATCTTATAAAATTATAGGATGCTTATCTGAAGTGTCCTATAAAAAAGTTAATACGACACTTTATTTTAAAAAAGTCATACAAACTTGTTAAGATGTCCAAAAGCTTCTTATAAACTTATTGCAACTATTTTGCATAGTCCTCCTATAAAGTGTGAGAATATGCGGAAACCCTAGATTTATTTTTCAAAAGAGCCTTATAGGTGACAAGGGAGGTTTCGACATATATTGTGAAGAAATGGTCTAAGTCTAGCGGATGCAAGAGTCTAGCACGTCCCTCGAACGGAGGCTAGAAGGGCACGGATTGTCCCTCGAAAGGGGGCAAGGCGGATAGGGGGCTAGATGAGTGTAGATTGCCCCATAGTGTCAAATCTGGAGAGTGGTAGGTCTTGGCTCTATGCTATGTAAGAATATGTGGAACACTTGGATTTACTCTCCAAAAGAGCACTTAGGAGGAGAAGAGGGTTCCAACGTATACCGAGTACAAATGGTCTATGACACTTAACTACAAGGGTGGTGCCTGATTGGTTTGAGCTTAACTCCAAATGTCAAAAGTACCAGGAGGTGCCAAGTTCAAATCCAAAGAGGAATAAAAATTTCCTTTGTGGCCACAGAGGTTCAAATGCAGTGATTCCGGGCTATTTGCAAAGGTGGTCGCCCTGGGATTAGTCGGCTCGCATAGCGGGTTGGATATTCAGGTTAATATAAAAAAATGGTCTATGACACTTAGCAATTATGACGGTCCTAAAAACCTAGTTTTGTTGTAGTGCAAAATTTCCTATTTTGGAGCAAAGTTTTACATAGAAGCTAATGTCTTTGATATTTGATCATCAAGACTATAGCTCTTGTTGGAGAAAGTGGAAGTGGAAAATCAACTGTGGTTTCTCTTCTGCAAAGGTTCTATGATGTTGATTTCGGTCGGATAACGCTTGACGGATTTGATATCCAAAAGCTAAACGTGAAGTGGTTAAGGCAACAGATGGGTCTAGTGAGCCAAGAGCCCGTTTTGTTTAATGACACAATTCGTGCCAATATTGCGTATGGAAAGGAGGGTAATGCGACCGAAGCAGAAGTCTTGGCAGCAGCAGAACTAGCAAACGCCCATAAATTCGTTAGCGCCCTACACCAGGTATATATCGTCAACTTCCTTCTCATGCCCAAAGATATGATCAACCAGTATAGACTTACAAAAATGGCTTACAATCTTTTACATGTTCAAGTGTCGCTTTATAAGACTTAAGTTTATAGGACTAAATAATTGTGTGGATCCTATGTAGAAGTGCTTTTATAAGTTTATATGACGTTTTTAAACGTCTTAACAAGTTTTTAAGACACTTTTAAAATAAATTATCGTATTAGTTTTTATATGACACTTTAGAGAATGTCCTATGAACACATCTTTGTATAAAACACTTGTGTTTATAAGACATTTTTCCATATAATGTCATATAAACCAATTAATATGACATTCTATTTCTAAATTGTCGTTAAAAACCTTGTTAAGATATCAAAAAACGTTCTATAAACTTATTGTAACAGTTTTATATAGGCGTACAATTGTTTGGTCTTGGTCTTATATACTTAAGTCAATAAAGCTTATTAGGACACTTAGGGACCATTTACCAAACGTTTAACGGGCAAGTGTTTATCGAAAAAATTCAACATTATTACTTACTCACCGGTTAAGATTTTAGTCCACCAAAACCGTATTGCATGCAACAATTTACCCGTTACACACTAACCGTGGTAAGAGCCCCTCACTTACCGGGTAAAGTACTTGGTCCTTGTCTACGCTCTTACTGAGTAAGATTCTTGGTCCTTGCTTCATTTATCCGGTAAGGTAAGCGTTTCTTAAACAATTTTGGCTCTCTAGCTATAAACCCGATTTTGTTGACCTAAACCTTTAAAACGCAATCTAAAATATTTGTATGTGATTTTAGGGGTATGATACAACCGTGGGGGAAAGAGGGATCCAATTGTCTGGAGGGCAAAAACAGCGAGTGGCTATAGCAAGAGCGATCATAAAGGCTCCAAAGATATTGTTACTAGACGAGGCCACTAGTGCCCTCGATGCCGAATCTGAGAAAGTCGTACAAGATGCACTTGACCGAGTTATTTTACAGCAAACGACAGTGGTGGTGGCTCACAGGCTATCCACGATTCGGGGGGCAGATGTTATTGTGGTCGTAAAAAATGGAATGATTGCAGAGAAAGGGAAGCATGAGAAATTGATTAATATGAAAGACGGCATCTATGCATCTTTAGTTGCATTACATACTAATGCTTCCAACTGATCTTACACTTGTCATTCAAGCTTCCTTTTCCATTTAAACTGTAGATTGTTGTTTGAATAAACACTCAAAGGCCATCAATGGAGAGCTAGTATGAGTATGGTTAAAACTTAAAATGTGTAACTATTTTCATGGTCATTCCTTTGTTGATCCCTCGCGAATCTGTTTTTGGACATTCCCTTGCTGATCTGTGAGGGATTTTTTCCAATTGTTTTCTAATAGTGAATGCAAATTTAAAAGGTAATTCCTCCCAAGTTGACATGATTCATAACACATTTTTGCAATCTACTTAGAAGCTTAGAGGAAAGATGTCAGTTGGATTCATCCATAAAACTTCTAAATGGGGAAAGAGAGAGGGTTTTTTTAAAATTAGGGTTTATAGCTTAGGGAATATATATGTTAGAAATAGTGCAACAAATCAATGATCATATAACATGAATAATCACTGTATTAGCCTCTACTATCAACGTTGTTTGGATTGATTAAAGGCTAATTCAAACATTTTTGCAGGAATTTCTTTGAAGAGAGATAAAATAAGGAGATGATTACATATATAGGGTTAATTTCATTTCTTAACCCAAATTATTGTATTAACTTTGTTAACCAATTTTGACCATTGATCTTTGAAATTTGTGAATAAGATCATTCATGACACAAAGTGTAAATAATTGCACACATAGACAAGGTAACATAAGTCAACAATGTTTACAAAGGGTATTTTGGGAAAAGATTTTAATTGTCCATTAATGACAATGGGATGTTTTGTAACTGCCTATTAATAGCAATATAACTATCCAGGAATTAATCTCGTCATCAAATCAAAACCAACAGCAAGATCCCCGACACTAGATTCTTCTACAGTTTTTTTTGTTAATGGTTCATATGTGAACAAGTATTCGATATTTATGGGAATTGTTCGTGTGTGAACAGGGGTGTATATAGAAAAAGTCGTAAAGATTTTCGTAACATCTATGTTTTATTTTAGTAACATATACATTATGTAGTCTCGTTTATATATGAAATAAATGTGGAATGATACATGGTTCACCTATGAACAAACATCAAATTGTGCTTATGCACAATATTCATGTGTTTACTTGTGAACACTATTCAATTGTTTTTTAAATAATTGGTAATTTGTACATACCCAATTTTTGTATTTATCCATAATTGCTTGAACGATACCAAAAACTTTATTATCGGGTCTCCTCCACCAATCACCAATTCATAAACACTAAAGATGGAAAATCAATACTAAAAAAATAACAAGATCAATATTAAAAATGCATAAATCATGGGATTTTATGATCTTGTAACTCTCAATTAATGATACAGGAGTTACATAAAAAAATTACCCATATACCCTTGTCATTAAATTCTAAGATAGAGAGGAACCTAATACTAAGATAGATTGTGATTGGTTGAAAAAGTTTATAAAGTTAACACAATAGTTTATGTTAACATTTGAACTAAGCTCTACACACATATATATATATACATACATACATACATACATACATAGATTTGTACCTATATATGATTTGGATAAGGTTAACTGAATTTAGATTCTATCCAAATCAGATAACAAAAAACAAAACTATAAAAAAGGGCCAAAAAATTCATCCAAACAGTGTGTAAAGCGACTTTTCTGGCGTGTCAAGTTGTACGGAAACACTGGAACATTTTGGACTTTGATTATTGGGAAACATTGAAACTCGTGTTAGTTACTCTACTCATCCCAAACATAAAAATGTGATTTTTGGGAAATCTCACACGCGTAAGGTGGTAGCACTAGTGATATCTTCTGACTATTTAATATATGTGTAAAATTTATATAACAAAGCCAAATCCTACTTAGAGTCATTAAATCTTACACTAAACACTAAGTTTGATGTAAATCCCACTATTCACATCTCCAATTGGGTCACAATTTTCCATACTAAATTTAGTGTAATGAACAGTATACACTATATTTGGTGTAACACCATTCGTTAACTAAGAGCTTAAAGATATTTGGGGTGTCTGAGATTGCTTATAAAAATAACTTATTGACTTATTTCGGCGTGATACCAGTTATAAACACTTTTGAGTGTTTGGATAAACAACTTATATCGGTTATAAACACTGTTGAGTGTTTTGACACCGGTTTAGCTTTTCTAAGACAATCAATAAAGCTCAAAGCCAAACAATTCTAAATGTAGGTGTTTATCTACCGGAATCAGTATTCTTACATGGGAAACTTTACGTGGCGTTGTCCAGAGGGATATCATGGGGCAATACGAAGGTGTTAGTGAAGCATGTTAAAAAATTCAATCGTGCCGGAGTCTACACCTCAAACGTCGTCTATCAAGAAGTTTTACGTGATGAATAAGGTATAATCAACAATTATATTATTACACATTTGGTACCATATGTTTTTATTAAAACCATTGCGCCTTTTTTGCAGGATATATTTACAGATGCGTGCATCACGAAAAACAAACAACAGTTTGGATATACGGATGTACATTATTTACAAACGATTATATTTCTTTGTTCAATCAAGAATTTCAAGTTTTGTAATGAGCTGTGAGTAGATGGGTTCAGAAACCCAATATGTGTGCAATTATTTTTTCATTCGATTTTGTTAATACACCGTATTAACCTTCAACTTTATATAGTAGTTGACTTGTAAAATAATCACACAAACTCATGATTCAAGGCTAAACTAATGTTTTCGAATTGTGATTTATCCGCGCTGCATCACACTAGTACACCACTAGTCTATTATAAAGCATTTGCCAAAAACTCTTAAAAACCATTTTTTATGCATGAAGTACTGTTTATTGATGCATATTACTTAAAATTTCAAGATTACAAGTAAATTATGTATAAGTACAACTTATTACAGCTCCATGTTTGAATTCATGTAACTAATTGTGTATAAACATAATCAAATAGAGGATAAACATCTCACTTTGAAATATAAAAAAGCTAAAATATAATTAAGATAATTATCGAGTTCTAACAAAATAATTAATTATTTAGAAGAAAATTATATTATTAAACCAAATATAATTTACTTCATTATTGAATCTAAATTAAATTATAATAAAAAAAATTGAATTAAAAATTATACAAAAAATTGGAATTTTAAATAGTTAATTTGATACTAATATCGATATATTTTTGTCAAAGTTTTATGATATCTTCAAATTTATATTTTATTCAAAAATAAAAACATCATCGCTTTTTCAAAATTACATAAAACCATACTATAACATCGACTGAGATAAAAAAATAAAATAAAATATTAAAATCAAAATATATTTTATTGCATTTCACGAATATCATTCTAATTTTTTATAACATTTTTTGAACTCTCCTTTAAGAAAGAGAGATGGGGTTGCATTGAGGTGGATAATTAGAGCAGAAAGAGGGAGCCAAGTGTCATAATCTAAGTGGCAAATGTGATCATTTGAAAAATAAGACAAAAGGGTAAATTGAAAAAATGTCACTGAATTAACGGATTGGAGTTAACTAAGTTAGGGACAAAGAGTTAACTCGGGGTGAAATCAAACCACAGGGACGTTTAGTGTAATTATTTAAAAAGATGACTTACACTGTAATTTTACTCCTTAATATAAAACTAGTAAAAAGACAAAACTGCCCCTTGCTTAAAATGACTTTACACAACTTTTTCTTAACGGAGTTAAAAACAGGGACCCAAAGTGTTATAGAAGTAAACTATATGACATTTTCTATAATTATTTTATTTTGTGGATGCATAGCATAATATGATTTTTGAGTGAATCTGAAGGACCAACGGTGCGCCTTATTCTAAAAAAACCTTAAAGATATTTGGGTGTGTTTGAGATTGCTTATAAAAATAACTTATTGACTTATTTCGGTGTGACATTAGTTATATACACTTTTGAGTGTTCGGATAAATAACTGATACCGGTGTCAAACCGGTAATAAAGAGTTTTTGAGGAAGTTAAACCCTTCTAAGGGGTTGTTTCTTTACCTCTTAATAGTTTCATTAAAAGACAACATCTGAACTGTTAAGAGGTGAATGTTGTTTGACAAAATAAATCTGTCTCTTAATGGTTTTAAAACCCTCTGAATGATTTTGTATCATGAGTCTCCCTTAACTATTAAGCGCCCTAATTTCATTGTAAACAATTACCCAAAAATTATATTTCATTTTGCACTATATCATGAAAGTCTCTTAATTATTCTGACTACTTAATTATTTTATGCCAAATCATTCAATAACTGTCAAACAATCTCTAACTTATAATAAGTTGATAAACATTTTTATAGAAAAACATAAATTATTTTAAATAAACAATCCCGAACACCCTTAAAAGATAATAATAAAAAAAAAATACCATGATGGGGCAAAGGCATAACATCTAAAAGAGAATCACAGAGAGACGCCACCTATTCGATTCGTAGCCAATTGAATGCTTTACATCTACGCGTAGTATTTAACGGCGAATCGTCAATCTAAGTATGCATTGCAATGTTTCATGTTTAGCCCTTACACTTTTACTTCTTCTAAAATTACCCTTTGCTTAACAAACAATCATTTTTGGCAAATGGAAGCCTATCTCGCCCTTTACAAGTCATTATTTTTGTTGAAGAATATCGTAATTATACATGTTATTAAAATATATATTGTGGAGTAGGTAAGATATATACAGACATATCTAATAATCTTAAGACAAAAAATCATATGAGAAAAAAAAAGTTATGATGAGAAGTGTAAGAAAAAAATATGTACTATTGATTACTTTTAATCTAATATTCACTCATGAATTGCGTTTTAGAAGAGAATTGATCTGGTGCATCTTATTAGTGTTGACATTCAATTAGAATTGATCCGAAGGTAAAGATCTCTTCTTACGCTTCTCACCATAACTTTCCTTCTCACTGGTACCCAACACTCTTAAAGGATTAAACAATTGTCTTAAAATATATAATATTTATATACGACAAATACCTATATGCATTTGTCGTCTTTGATAAGGTTTGAATTGGTGAAATTTCAATTAGGTTGGATTCTATCAGTAATTCACATCCACTGAGTTATTAACCATTTAATAGGGTATAATGACTTATGAAAACGTGGCTGTATTCAAACATGTTCTTTAAGAAACCCGAAATGTTGCAACATTTTATTGTTTTTATGGCATTTGTACAAATAAAATAACAATTTTGTAATGAAGTGGTGTAAAAGAAGGCAATTCGTTTTGTGAGAATTTGATGGTGGGTAAAATTCGACACAGGAAGAAAACTGTAAGGACTGATAATGATAAATTTTAAAATTTGAAGGACTAAACATGTACAAACATTTTACTTTAAGAAATTATAATTCAAAAATTTCACGGTTCTGATTGTCTACGATCTGAAGCCCTTAAATACTACGCTCCCTCTCTGCATCTACTTGCGTCTATCTCACGAATTTCGTCGGTGATCGACGGCTCCCCATTTCAAACGATCTCCGTCACTCTCCTACAATCGCCGACCGATCGTTAGTCTTCTTTCTCTATGCATTTCCGTGTGTGTGCGTGTATGTGTATAGTATATGCGTTGTTGAATCATGAATATGTACTTTAACTCGTCTTTATATTTGAGATCGGATCTATTAATGGTTAAATTGTTTAATTTCGTTTCTTTTTTCATCGTTGTTGGTAGGATGAGTGTTTATTCTGTGTAGATCGTTACGATCCGCTTTGTGTTGGTAATTGAAATTCATTTGATACAAAATGGACTAATAGCATTATATCAGTTTTTAGAGATTCTCTGTTGAATCTATTTTTTTTCTGCATTGATGTTATATTGCTGTCTTTGGGCATTGGATGAATAGTTTTGTTGAATTTTCGTGGTCAAGCATACTTTCTAGGCTTTTTAGTAATTGTTATGCTGAACTCTCTGTTGATTTTCCCGAAATGAGGTCGATGTGATGACTTTTAAGTAAAGTTATAGGCCTTTGTTTTGAGAGTCCTTCCAAAGTGTTCACTTATGCGGCTATGGAATGGTTGTGGTGCTAATTTCACTTTAAATCATTATACTTCCTCCCCCCAAGTCGTATAAGTTTTCGCTTTATATGCTTTTAGTTGAAATTCAGCTATAATTCTACACAAGTTATTTTAGCATTGCTCCCATATCGTCACTTTTGTTCAAGGTTTTTAATGTCGTAAGGTGACCCATGTTATAACGTGCCATGGTACACCCGGCGCCTTACGCACCATGGGGTTAAAGTGGCGTTGGATATGCTCCTCGCGCCATGCTGTGCCACATCGGCCACCATGACATGGCCTTTAGAACCATGCTTTTGTTTGATCAGAGGTCTATCATTCAGAAGATGTTCTGTTTTGTAATTTTAAACAAGGTGGATTCTTTTGCTTCTTTAGTTGATTAGTAATGCAATTCTATTGAGATGCTTTCAGTAAGTAGTTCAAATATTGTGAAGTATATTTTTTATGGCGATTTTGAGTGGCATACCGAACTATAAATGTCTTTGAATTTTTTTTTATGTTTGAGAACGACCTCAACTATTTGGGGACAGGGTTGGTGTCGTTGGCCCTTATACAATTTGTTATGTGGAAAATTTATTATGTTATCCACATGCACTACATTCAAGTTGAGAAAGCATCTGTTTTTCATATCCATGGAATAAGGTTGGCTGCCTTTTAGAGTTAACTGAAGCTGGCTCTTCTTTATCCATATTGTACTGCACATAATCATCCTCTAAGTTTTCTCATGAAATCAAACATCAAATTTCAGAATCTTCCTTTGAGAACTTGTATTATTTCCAGTTTGAGATGAATCACTTGACTGCATAAAATTAGAACATCTTTATGACGTTTTATCTTTGTTTCTATTATTTATCAGATATCAAGATGGGGTTGTCTTTTACCAAGCTTTTTAGCCGCTTGTTTGCTAAGAAAGAGATGCGCATTTTGATGGTTGGTCTCGATGCAGCTGGTAAAACAACAATTTTGTACAAGCTCAAGTTGGGAGAGATTGTAACCACAATTCCCACTATTGGTATGCTGATGTTTTTATAATAATACAGCTGAAATATCCTTTTCTTTCTCTTTCTTATATGCAAAATATTTTAAATGCCCAATTGAAGAAGTGTAGTAAAACATGTAGTATCTTTCTGGACAACAGATAAGTACATATATTAAGACCAAGAATTTAAGACTTTCTCACAACATGCATAGAGTTTCCATCTTATAAGGCATTGTGAAAATAACATAAAACTTTTTATCTTAAAACACCCACAAAGAATAATTGTCGACTTAGAAACTCCTGTTTTTTAATATTTAGGAGTTTTTATAATAACGAACTCGTATTGAGCAGGCTTTAATGTGGAGACTGTTGAGTACAAGAACATCAGCTTTACTGTTTGGGATGTTGGTGGTCAGGACAAGGTAAGATTGTCTTCAGAATAGGTACAAGGACAAGTATATTTGCATCAAGAGAAGTTGAAAAAGGACTGGTTTTCATACCAAAAGTTTTTATCAGAATAGAGTTCTAATTAATACGCATGCTCTATTATCATATGCAAGATAAAGCTAAGGTTCTTATTTTGATTACAGTTTTCCCTTTTTTGAAATGAAATGCTCTTTACTGTTTTCAGATCCGACCTTTGTGGAGGCACTACTTCCAGAACACACAAGGGCTTATCTTTGTGGTCGATAGCAATGACCGTGACCGTGTGGTGGAGGCTAGAGACGAGCTGCACAGGATGCTTAATGAGGTATTGTTTGTTTGTGTGAATGTGATTAACTTCATCTTTGTCCAAATTTAGTTGAAATTTGTTTCTGAGTAAATGCTTATGGGTGGTATAGGATGAACTAAGAGATGCAGTGTTGCTTGTGTTTGCCAACAAACAAGATCTTCCAAATGCTATGAATGCCGCTGAGATCACTGACAAGCTTGGTCTGCATTCTCTCCGACAACGACACTGGTAATTTTGACATCATGCCTTACAATAAAACACTCTCCCTCCCCATGTGCACATGAATTGGGGACACAAATCTAAAGATAGGTCGCTGGTTCAAGTCTTACCAGGGCCACTGGGGATTTTCCTTATTGTAATCTTCAGGGCCCCATGGGTTTAGTCAAGATTAGAGGTGCATTAACCGGGCATAAAAGGACCGGTCCTTTTAAGCCAAAAAAAAGACCAAGCCTTCCTTTAACCGGGCTGGGCCTTAGCCGGTCCTAGCCCAAAAATTCCGGACCGACGGTCCTAACAGGTCGTTTTTTGGACCGCTCTTCATTGAACTTTCATTTAATTGTAACCTAACAAGTGGAAAGGGACAACAATATTGGAAAAGTTACTTTACTGTATTTCTTTGAAGTGAATGTCTTTTGGTCCTTGACCAGTCCAAAATAGAAAAAATGGTGACATTTCGGGCTTTAACCAGACTTTGACCGCGCCTTAACCGAACCAATTTTCAGTGCACCTCTTTCCGCTAGCTGGCCCGCATACATATGGTTAATTTTTTACAGACGCTTGCACATAGAGACATAGGATAAATTTATTATTTTGTCACAGGTACATCCAGAGCACATGTGCCACCTCTGGAGAAGGTCTATATGAGGGACTGGATTGGCTTTCCAACAATATCGCTAACAAGGTAAAACATTACCCAGTATAAGCGTTAATGTCCTAATTTAAACAAAACTTCTCATAGCATAAATCTTTGCTATATTATAAACCATTCGGCAAAAACTCTTTGGAAACAACTTGAGCATCATACCGTTTATTAATGCAACTATCTTTAACATAGAAGGTTATACTTTATTATGGCCTACGTACAACTTCTTGAAACTTCATAAAACGAACCAATAATCTCCATAGATTTACCTCATATTTTAAAATCTTCATGATCTTGAATAATCAAACAAATTATATAAAAAATGAGTATTTATTCTCTTTAATTTGATACTCAATTGATGTGTTTTGTTTCTGGATAAAGGGGATGGAACCCCTTGTAAAACTTCTTTCAATTTTCGTAACTAGGTTTTTGAAATTTCGATCACTAGTGTATTGAAATGCGAGTATATTCATATTAAGGTATTATGAAATATTTATCTTATGCTCTACAATCTCTTAAAATTCAAATTTACAACTTTGTACAACTTCTTAAATCCCCACGTTTGAGCTCAATAAAACTAACAACTAATTGATAAACACATTTAAATACAAGATAAATGTTTGAGCTTTATTCATACAACAAAATAATCCATAAAACTGATAACTAGCCAAAGACCCTCTTGCTCTTTCTAAAATAAATTAGAGAGGCACGGAAAATAGAACGGAACTTGAATCAGGATTGAGGGTTTGAGTTTTCGACTTGAGCATCGAGATGTATTGTGTTGCATTGCTAGTCATTTAAATGTTTTGTCGTGTTTTGTAAACTTGGTAGACAGGTAGGGGCGAACATATGTGCATTTTTTCTGATGGTCGTATTTGTTTCGGTGAATTTCAGGCATAAACAGGGCTGGGCGGTGTGGTGAACTTCGTTCCTTCCTTCCTGTTAGTTAGTTAATGTGGTTTGAGTTGAGGTTTCTTTATATCTTAGTGTTACAAACCAAAAGACGTTTTAATCCCTCCGACCGACCTCTGTTCTTGAATGAATCCATAATGATGGATGGTCGTTCTTTGTAATCTAAATTCTGCAGGCTTGATTCTATTGTATCCTTGAAAGTCACTTGTGCAGCTTTTCCAGCACACTATGAAACAAATGAGAAAAACTATATGTTCAAAGAGATGTGGCATAAATGGCTTTTGGGGGAATTAATTGTTTGTTTGAGGTCATATCTTTGAGAAACACAAGAAGTTAGGAATGGTAAAGGGGATTGCTTTTTTGTTATTGGACCATTTCTTCTTTAGGGTTGGTTTCTGGTGAGGATAGTTAAGATGAGAAGCCTAAAAGGGATCTTTATCTTTGGATGTACAAGGGTGAGATGCACCGACATGAGATGCAATTCCCATATCAAACGTGATTCATGTGCGGGTTTGAGATTAAAGGTGATCACCGGTCCGTCCAAATCTCTTCTTACTTTTCTCACTTTAACTCTCTTTCTCACCATCCTTTGCGTACACACACACACATATGGTAGAACCTTTTATTCTTTCATTAAGGGCTTTTGAAGAGTGATCTAATGGTTTTTCACATGATATTTGAATCAAGGTTTATCAATCTTGGAACTCGGGGCTCTCTCTTCTCCCTCCCTCCCTCTCCTTGTGTGCTAGATTTTGACCTTTTCTCTTCAATATATGTTAGAACCTCACTTTGCTCAAAGACATTTTTTTAAAAAGTAGTCTAATAGAGTTCCAATGTTTGTCCTTGCACAATCATCAACCTCTCTTGAACTTTTATACCTTTAGCTTAGATCAACTTAATTTGGTCATATATTAAATCAAATGAGAACTACAAAAATATTCAGATATGTGAAAACCAATTTTATGTGAAACAAAATTTGACCATATGTTTCACATATGAAACACATGCGTAAATAATAATACCACTTTGAATCTTTGCCTAACATGAAGCCCATTGAATAATTGAGATTGGTTCTTATTGTTGTCAAACTTTTATGGCTCACATTTGATTTTTCACAAATATATAAATGCATTGTTCTACTGGAGCCTATTAAAGTTAGTATAGAATGTATCATGATTTCTTGGTACAGGAGAACATTGAGAGATACATAAAAGTTAGTATAGAATGTATCATGATTTCTTGATACAGGAGAACATTGAGGGAAATATATATCTCGTCTCTATTTTAAAAGAAAACAAACATTGATGAGTTGGAGATCAGGGATTGGTCGTGATGGATATTGGTCTTTAACCGGCTTATAAGTCGTAATATAATGCGGCTCCAATGTATGACTAGATAGTCAAATGAACGATCTAGTCAAATGAACAATTTTGTGAAAAAATGGTCTTTTTTTTAATCTTATTAAACATCCATAAATATCACACATTCAATTAGTTTTTTTTCATGAGTTAAATTAAATCATGAATGATTCTATTTGTTGCAATCGATATCGGTGCATCATTTTGAGGTTTGAGGCTCACGATCTCATAAACAGCTTGAATTAGACAAAAATAAATAAATAAATAAATATATATATATATATATATGAGTTTTGCTGTATATATATATATATATATTATATTTTTTTTAAACAAACAAAAGTTACTTCTTTCATGGAAATCAACCCAACACTAGAAAAAATAAGCACAACTACGATTTTCGTCCATATGGTTTGTTAAAAATTGAATTTTGCACCTATGCTTTTGAAATTATGGTTTTTGTCTATGCGGTTTGCAATTCATTGTTATTTTCGTCCTTGAGGCTAACTCCGTCAATGCTTTTTGACCGTTAAGTTTGAGTGACGGATGAAACCAACAATGAACTACAAACCACAGGGATAAAAACAACGATAAATTGTAAATCACAAGGACGAAACCCATACTTTCAAAAGCACATGGACGGAATAGCAATTTTTAACAAACACCACGAACGAAAAGTGTTAATTTCCCAAATGGGTGGTGATCGTTTCCTTCCAAAACGAATTGCTAATAAGATTATGGGACTCACAGAAAGGCCACGACCCAAAAAATCCGAGCTTTAGGAAGGTCGGAAGCTTAAGCCTCACCACATGTGAGAACTCTGTGTAAGTTCAATTTTCTGTACATAGATATTATATATTTAAAAAACAAAAATATTATATGAAAATGAGCATTTTTATGCCAAATCAAATCGAACCAACTCAGTAAAATAGAATCTGAAAAAGGTAGAATGTATGCAGACCTTACCTCTATCTTAAATAATAAAAAGATTGTTTTCGTGAATACCAATGGAAAAAATAAAACACTAATTGTCTAATTCTATAGACAAGTTGTTCACAAGATCTACATGATAAATGACAATTCCAACCCTCAGAACAATTTTATGTATTATTTAAAAGAAATGGTAAAAAGTAAAGGTTGACTTCCCTCTAATGTTTCCCTTTGCTAGCAATGTTGCTGGAAAGCCAATCCAGTCCTTCATAAAGACCTTCCCCAGAAGTTGCACATGTGCTCTGAATATACCTGATTCACATCAATCAATAATAATAATAATAATAATATCTCTCAATGGCTTGCTAATCCTACTTGTAATGTACAAGTTTTTAAAGCATACCATCCAAACTTGTATCTTATAACATGTTTTTATTTCAACACAAATCAAACTGTACAAATCCCTATTTTTCCTTTTTAACATTTGTATGGATCATGGATCAATCCAAGTATTAGCATTTAGCACACCTGAATGAGTCAATGTAAGTGTCTAGGTCAGTTTGTATGCACCTCAACTAATTCTATTGGGCTCTGAAGATAATAAACACAAAAACTCCAGTGGCGCTAAGGAGACTTGAACCCGTGACCCCAAGACGTAAACTTTATTTCCTAGTTAGCTAACCCTCAAGGTCTAAAATGAGTATTTATGGACCATCTTTAAGGATTTTTAGTTCATATCATTAGATTAGATCAAGAACTGCAAGAATCGAATCCAATTCTTTATCGTTTGTGATTGTGTTGGAGAATTTACCAGTGTCTCTGTCGTAGAGAATGCAAGCCAAGCTTATCCGTAATCTCAGCAGCATTCATAGCATTTGGAAGATCTTGTTTGTTGGCAAACACAAGTAATACTGCATCTCTCAATTCGTCCTATAATTTGCATTTCATAATCAAAACAACTGAATTTCCACTACAGACAGGACAATTGATCAAGTTAACAAGAGCAATGAAGAGTACCTCGTTAAGCATCCGATGTAGCTCATCTCTAGCCTCAACCACACGATCACGATCATTGCTATCAACCACAAATATAAGACCTTGTGTGTTCTGGAAGTAATGCCTCCACAAAGGTCGAATCTGAATACAACTAAAATAAGCATTTGGATTGAACAAACCCCATAGTTTTAAAGTTATATAATATTTATACAGGGCAAGTACTCACGCACACTTCTCTTCTTTGGCAAGGTTTTGAACCCTTGACCTCCTAAGCGGTTGGTTATACCAGTAACCCAAGTAACCAAACAAACCAAACCAATACAAACAAGCCCAATATGTCCCACCTTAAGGTGGGTCTGCAGGGGGGAGGATGTCTAACAGTAAATGTATAAGTAACTGGGTACTCATAGAATTAATCTTTTCTTCAAGTTAAGTGATGCTCATGATGCGCAGCATTCCAAATAACAGGACCATGACAGATCCATGTCACTGGTTCACAAATGTTAAATATGAGGACCAAATGTCATAAGCCTTAATTTGATACCTCACAGTTCGTTTATCACGATAGGTTTAACCTTTTCAAGCTTCTGATAATGCTAGGTGTTAGTTATAGATCAGCACATTCAGAAAAGTAGCTAAAGATGAAGAACTATGTGCATATATGAAAGAATTCTACTACCCCTTGACAGCATTCGTACTTTTATGAGTAGATTAAATTTTTTGTTTCAATAGAAAATTAGCTATTCTAGGTGGATTTGCAGAAAACGAAGAGGAAACCATCATTTTGCTAAATGATATATTAATAGATTCCCATGCCTTCCTAAGTCTCCACGACGCAACTCAGAAATCAATATCTTCTTATTAGTCAAAGAGAAAATACCTTGTCCTGACCACCAACATCCCATACGGTGAAGCTGATGTTCTTGTACTCAACAGTCTCCACATTGAATCCTGGGAAAGAGATATATATATATATATATATGAGGACAGATGATTCTAGTCTACTCCATTAATTTCCAATTTGTTGAGTAAGGACATAACTTGTAAACCTTGGAAGCAGCTATACCTGAAGGGGCCGGCATGTTGACACTAGTGATCCTCTATCAGGAAAATACAACTTTAGTGACAAGTATACAAAATATTGGCTTAATTGATTGCCTATTGGTTTTTGTCTGAACCTAGATGTTTGATAAATTCCACCTACTATTAATCTGCTAAAATTAACAATGAGCACACTATATAAGTTCAAAGTTAAAACAGATAACCAGACCTTTGAACTGCATTTATGAGTGAACTTTTATAATCCCAAGTGTTTACTTTAAGTAAGTCATCTACTTCGTTTCAAGATGATTATGATCAATGCCTCACATAAAATATACTGCATGTAAAGAGAAAAAAGGTAACAAGGTTTAGTTCAATTGGCATGTGAGCGTACCAATAGTAGGAATAGTGGTGACAATTTCTCCCAATTTGAGCTTGTACAAGATTGTGGTTTTACCAGCTGCATCAAGACCGACCATCAGAATGCGCATCTCTTTCTTAGCGAATAAGCGCTTGAATAGCTTGGTAAAAGACAGACCCATTTCTGTGTCTGACAAAAGACAATAATCCGATAAGATTTGCAGTCATTTATTAACATGAAATAGTTGATGGTTGACATCAAGAACAACAAACTAGATATATTATAATGAGTGGCAGAAACAATCATTCTGATAAATGAGAACTTGAGAAAGCAGATTTTCATTTGCAGTTGTAAATCAAATAAGAAATTAAAAATACAAGATAGAAACAGGAAATGTGCATTATATCACAAGCTCTATCAAACATGTTTTCTTCTATTCATCCCATTCCCATCACATTGAATTGCACTAAATCCCCATGCAGGTTTCCATACACTGAGTTATTTATATGCAAACTTATAACAAATACCAAGCTTTTTGAAACTTTAATAGGTAAACAAGTAGAACAGGGAAACTGA